CATGTGGCAAAGTCTAATACAATTTCACTTTCCCTTACAAGCTTCCCTATGTCTCTTCAATGCTTATCATTTTCCCTTGGCCCTCCTCACCATCTAACCTATTCTGATCTATTGTTTGATTTTCTTTCTCCTCTACTAGAATATAAGCTCCCCAGGAAGATAAGGATTTTTGTTCACTGTCCTATCCTCAGAGCCTAGAACAGAAACTCCCACATAGTAGGTGCTAAATATTTGCTGTATGAATAAGTTTCATTGGGTTGGAGTGATGAGACTAGACAAGTGCTAGAGAAACCAAAGCAAATGGCATGTGATACAATGGGGTGCAGGGCACTTTCCCTGGTCGAGATGAGGCACACACAGGGATGAAATCAGTACAGAACAGTACAAAGGCTCCATACAAGAAAATCTCACTAATTAGGACCGTGTACAAGCTGTATACTGTTACCCTGTTAATTTAACTTATATTCAGAGTACATCATGTGAAACGCCAGGCTGGATGAAGCACAAGCTGGAATCAAGACTGCTGGGAGAAATATAAATAACCTCAGATATGCAGATGACACCACTCTTATGACAGAAAGTGAAGAGGAACTGAAGAGCCTCCTGATGAAAGTGAAATAGGAGACTGGAAAAGCTGGCTTAAAGCTCAACATTCAGAAAATTAAGATCATGGTATCTGGTCCCATCACTTCATGGCAAATAGATGGGAAACAATGGAAACAGTGACTGACTATATTTTCTTGGGCTCCAAAATCACTGCAGATGGTGACTGCAGCCATGAAATTAAAGACACTTCTTTCTTGGAAGAAAAGCTATGACCAACCTAGACAGCATATTAAAAAGCAGAGGCATTACTTTGCTGACAAAGGTCCGTCTAGTCAAAGCTATGGTTTTTCCACTAATCATGTATGGATGTGAGAGTTGGACTATAAAGAATGCCGAGTGTCAAAGAATCGATGCTTTTGAACTGTGGTGTTGGAGAAGACTCTTGAGAGTTCCCTGGAAAGCAAGGAGATCAAACCAGTCAATCCTAAAGGAAGTCAATCCTGAATATTCATCAGAAGGACTGATGCTGAAGCTGAATATCCAATACTTTGGCCACCTGATGCAAAGAACTGACTCACTGGAAAAGACCCTGATGCTGGGAAACATTGAAGGCAGGAGAAGAGGGTGAAAAAGGATAAGATGGTTGGATGGCATCACCGACTGGATGGACATGAGTTTGAGCAAGCTCCAGGAGTTGGTGATGGACAGGCAAGCCTGGCATGCTACAGTCCATGGGGTCACAAAGAGGTGGATAGAACTGAGCAAATGAACTGAACTGAACATCTTGCAAGATTCTCCTCACAGCTCTGTACAAGAGAACACTTCACCGAAACAAGCTGAAAGGGGAATTCACCAGGGACATTCTATCTGGTGCAGTTGCTGACAAGTGGAGTCTCCCTGGGGACCGCCTTCTGCAGGAGAATTTCTGAAGACTGCAGACAAAGGGAACAGATACTAGAACTCTAGGACATAACTGTCATCTGATTTTCCAGTGTTACCTACTCTACCTTTGGGGGAAAAGATACTACCTTTGTTGAAAATGTTTGGACTAATTGATGAGATCTCCCACCATACTAACTCCTCTCTCTCTCTCTCTCTCTCTCTCTCTCTCTCTCTCTCTCTAATATGACATACATTAAAAGAAAAAATGTTTTCTCAAAGTAATGTCCCCAATCAAGTACTTCCCAAAGACTCCTGGAGTTTTCTCCTTGGAACCCCATACCAGCCATAGCGCCTGAAATTGACATCCTAACAGAAACCAGCGCACGAGAATCTGGGTCCCCATCCCAGCTCTACTGCTTAACTGACTGCATGGCTTTGGGCAAATAATGCATCCTCTGTGACTGCACTTTCTCATCTTTACAATGAGTCTAAAATCTATGCTAACAATTTGTGGAGAGTAAGTTAATAAACATGAGATCACATCATGAGGAATAAAGTACAAGATGCACTTCTATTAAGATGATGCACTTCTATTAAGATGATGTTATGACATAACTTTGGGCCTCACTGATACATAGAAACTAAGAGTACTAACAGTAGTTCAGTGCTTCCTCTGACTGTAGCAGTAGGAAGATGGGAAAGGGCCACACAGTATTCAATTCTGTGCCTACTCCTCAGTTCCGAAGTATTCATTATTTTTCTATGTTCAAGCAAGACCTTCTCCTCCAGTGTATCTGTAGCTCTAATGGAAAACCCAACCACTGAGTCCCTCTCCTGAAATGAAAGGTTCTTTAGCCTCAGATCTGAAACATGCAAGGACAGGACATCTTTCCTGGGAACAAACCCTTTCTTCTAAGCATTTTAAATTTCCCTGTGTTTCTTTCATAAGCACAAACCTTTCAAGCTTCTTAACAGGATGCTCCTTGCCTTTCAAAAAAACACTGAAAATTAAATTACCAAGGGAAGTTCCAGAAGCATCTGGGGAGCTCTAGGTCCCTATGAACTTTGTGCCTGATTACCTTTTCAACCATCCCTCAAGACCACAAAAGGGGAACAGATTATCTATCGATTGCCACTCAGGGTGCCTACAAACTAACGCCTGATGTGTATGTCTCTTCTTGTTGCTATCTGAAAATATCCAGAGGACAAAGAATAAGTCTATGGAAAAAATAAGGCAATACTGGTTCACGCTGAGCTGTAACAATACTGTACTGTATTTGTGAAGTCTCATGACATAGAATGGATTATCATTTTGATAGGATCCATCAGTGAGTCCCTGAGCAGATATTCATTTCTGCCTCCTCAATGTCAAGCTCTGTGCTAAACAGGGATAAGCCTGACAGGTCCTCCTTTATAGACATCAGACTAGTGGATAAGCCAGGTCCACCAACAACCCATCATGTGAGACCTGAGGTGGTTGGACCTGGAAAAGCAGCCATAATGTTGGAAAAGAGGAGAGGGATATGAGAAGGAAGTGAGGACAAGCTGGAATTAAACAGAATTTTCTTCATCAAATCCATCAGTTATTTCCTGTCATATTTTTATCTTACTGTCTACATGATGAACAATCTATTGCCTAATATTTGAAGAAACCATAGGCATATTTATGAAAGTATTAAAATATATAACATTATGGTGCATCCCCTAATAATGATAATTTCTCACTATATTAGAAAAGACATGATTTTAATCCTTTCCTTATACTGAGTGGAGACCAAGTGGCACAGATGTAGTAGCTGGCTTGTTTCTTTATCAGAATATTTTTCATTTAATTAAGTTCCACTTAAAAATAAAATGCAGGTCTCCTCAGTCTCTGAACTCTCGCTCTCTGAAGATTTGCCATAATGATATACTAATTGACACAAAATTCATTACCCAAACATACTAAAGAAACCTGCTGCAAGCTGCATGCAAGAATATGTTCAAGTCATGTACCCTCGGGTAGAAGGGTACAGTTGGCTGCTGTTGTAGCTCAGGTGTTCTCACAGAGAAGCACCTAGAGCTCCTGTTTAAACACTGTGTGCTTCACAGATATCCTCTCTCCCACCGTATGCACTAAAAGGTCTTCTAATAAAGTAGAGGAACTAATGAAGGACATGGGTAAGGCTAAGAGGCCCAAAGAACCGAATGCACTACAAGAAACACTGTAGTGTTTGATAAAGCACATTAAGAATTTTGAATGGCTGTTAATCTTAAACTTGGCCATGAACATGTCCCTAACTCCTATGAACCATAAATATAGTGATGAATATGTACAAGAAATTTGAGATTCTGCAAAAAAAAAAAAATCTTGCTGGGGCACGTGAGTGTGATGGTGGCATGAGCAGACCTGTGACACAATTACAAACTCGGGCATGTGTTAGCGAGAGTTGTAGGGTGCCAAGCAAAGGGAATACAAACAGACTGCCACCACAAGCTCTGTTTTTCATCCTGTGGCTCTGTGTGTAGCTTTAGACAATGGTTCCTCACCAGACACTTCTGAGCTCTGCTACCAGAAAGGGAAGATTCTCCCCTCTTCCTCAGATTCAGACACAGATGAACCTCAGACATTTCCTGTTTAACTCATTTCTTCACCAGCCCTTTCTTCCTTACCTCATTCCACCACCAAAGCCTAACAGAGACCATAGCCTCCAGCTCCCTCCTCCCACCACCAGACCTCACACAAACATGCCTTCCATCAGAAGAATCCTCTCAAAGCATCATCTTGTTTAGTTTATTTTGCTAACTTTTACTGGCATCTAGTGCTCTTTAATGTATTATTTTGCTATTTATTTACATCTCCACATACACTGCAATGTAGAAGGAATATGTAATCCTTTCTCAATATCCTACACTGAGCAATGTCTACTATTATGGCTTACTACCTATACAATATCTACTAATGAGTTTATCAAATATGAAGTGACTAGATAGTATTGCAAACAATTTCTATTTTGTAAAAATTCTTGGCAGATTGTTAAATAGGCAAATTAAGGAGTTTTAGTGACATCTAGCAAGTTGGCATTTTCCTTTAGATTAGGAGTGCATTTTTATTTTTTCCAGTCAAAATAATGGAATTACTCCCTTTGTTCTCTGAAAATTTGTTAACAAACAAATGTTAAAGAATAGATTAGATTCACAAAAAAGAGGAGCACCTGTATAATAGCAGTTACTACAATGCTTATTTGTTCTTCTACCATTTAAATTGTTTCAAGAAAAAGAAGCAATCAAGTCTATGTGTACAGGTATTGTCTTAATTTGAAAGTAATTAAATGTGTCAGTTAAGGTTGCTCTGTTTATTGCTTTATTTCTTTTATAGAAAGCCAATTACTTATATATATTTAGTTAGAAAAAACACAAATTATACTAGCTGAGAAAGGAAATTCAAACTAGTAGATTGCTCATTTGGATTCAATTGTTTTCTTTTTTCCATTTTGATGGAAAAATAGTCATAGATGTGATTTCTCTTGTTTCAGTTTTGTTGAATAGAAGTGTATCCTAGTTCCCCATTACTTACAACATTAGCCTCTCACCTGTGGCCCTCAGATGGCCTATCTGCATCTGAATTTGGGACCAATGGACCAACTTCACGAAACTCATTTAAGTTGCAAAAGCCCTGCAGAAAAATTGGCATTTTAGATACTTAAAATGTACTTACATAGTAAAAATATCTGACATATTTGTATAGGTTGTAGTAAATTTGAAAATCCAACTCATCTATATATCATTGTGAGAAAGGCACTCAATTTCACAGATGTGAAAATTGAGGATTTGAGAGCTAGGATGATTTGGTCAAAGATGTACAACTAGTAGATGCAGGATCAAGGTAGGTCTACTTCAAAGTTGAACTCTTGAGTTCACCACCCTTCCACTGCTACACAGCCACTCTGGGAACAAAGTCTTCCTCCAAAAAGCCCTCTTTTCTCACAAGATTTGTTCTTTGAAATGACCACTAATATGAAACAAATATCTCAGAAACCCAGAGAAAAACTGGCATAGGTCACAAACAGAAATCCTTGTGCCAAGAGGGAGCCCAGGGTGAGGGTGCCGTCTCAAATGAGATTTTTCTTTCTCAGATGAGGAAGTAGATTTGGGGGTTGTTGATGTTTTAGTTGCTCAGTCGTATCTGACTCTTTGTGACCCCATGGACTGTAGTCCACCAGGCTCCTCTGTCCATGGGATTTCCCAGACAAGAATATTGGAGTGGGTTGTCATTTTTTTCCTCCAGGGGCTCTTCCCAACCCAGGAATCTTCCCAACCCACGGCTTCTGCATTGGCAGGAAGATTCTCTACCATTGAGCCACCTCTAAATGGGATGTCTGCCTTCTCATGGCAAATATGAGAGCTCAAATCCCAGAGAACTGCTGCAGTGGGATACTGAATGGGGCCAACAGACTCAGCAACTTACTTCAAATGCTTTTCTCTTGACCAATTTTCTTACTGTCTTAACTTTAGGGGAAAAAAAGATCACAAAGATCACTACTCTAAATTGAGTGTAAAGAAAGCCCTCACATCTTCTGAAATGTGGTCAGTTAAAGCCCAGATTTTAAACCAGAGAGGAAAAATAAAGCAGATCTTTTGCCCCCTCTGGATTGTAATGATACTAATAATAATGATAAAAATGACTATGATGATCATGACTGTAAGGACTCATATTTACTGAGTGCTAACCATATACCTTAGCGGCAGCAGCAACCATATACCAGGGGCTGTCTTATTTGCACTTCACAATAACCCTCAAAGAGGCACTTTTTTCGCCATTTATAGAAAAATAACCTGAGGCTAAAAGATGTAAGTGACTTGGGTAAGGTCTTGTAGCTAGTAAGAAAGGTTGTGAACTCTGGATCCAGAGGCCTCTCGTGTAAGTACATGTATTGTATGTTACAACATCATCACAGTAACAACTTCGTCTAGTCATATGACGGTCTTTGTTCCCTGGAACTCTCCATGTGAGTTACTGCCTCATGACTTTTACAGCTGCTGAACCCTCTATCTGGACTGCCTTCCTTTCTTTCCTGGGTTGGCATCTTATCGTCATTCATAGTCTCTGTTCAAAAGGCACATCGTCAGAGAGAGACCTTCCCTGACATTCTACTGGACTCCCACTTCCACCAGTCATTAGCACACAATTCTGTTTTATCATCTCCATGACATCTGTTAATGTTACTTGTCTACTGTCTTTTTTTTTTCTAGCACTGAGCACAGTGCCTGGCACACAGTAGGTGCTTGCTAAGTACACCACTTGGTAAATAACCCATTAGTCCGAACCAATCAGATGAATCTAAAGATGAAAGATGTTTCCTTTTTTTTCCTGTTTTTTTGAGACAGAATCTGGGAATTCTCTATTAGAAGGATACCAAGTGAGCAACGGGCAGACAGAAGAGCTGCTTCAAAACTCACCTGGTCACACGCCTTCTTTTATCCACCTGCCAAAATGGTGATTTCTCTTACTATGTCCCAGCCCCCAGATTCTGTATACTTGTTTAATAGTATATCAAAACCACTTGTCAATGAGTGTGCGTCTCTTTGGGGTGTTCATCTTCTGAAACACAGGAGCTGGTCTTTTCTCACTCACATATCCTAACACAGCCCTCTGCATACATCAGGTGCTTTAGCAGTGCTGTACAGTAGCTGAGAGACCAAAGAGGACACGTCCCTTTAAAGGAAGCCTGCATGGCCACAATGGGGGAGACACAAATCCAACATACTTACCCGTAGAATCTGAGCCCTAAGAACACAAATGGTCCCCACCAGGTAATAGGAATCCTCCAAAGGAAGATTTACGGCAGGTGACTCACAGGTATATTTGGAGAAGCAGCTGCGGAACATCACAGGAGGCTCTAAGGGAGAGAGAGACACACAAGTGACAATCTAATAGAAAGGCAGGCCAGGTACACAAAAGAACAGTCACTTGTCCCATCCGTGTGCCATTTATCAACCCATTGACAATTTTCAGAATTCTGAGCCACCAATTTTTCCTGTCTTCCTTACATTCCAACCCTCCCCACCCTGGTCTCCACCAGAACAAGGAGTCATTACTGGGAAATAATTGTGAGTTCAGGGTGATTTTTCAGTCTTCCAATCTTACCTTGTGAATGGACATTTTAACTCCAAAAGAAATTTGCTCCCCTTCTTTACATAAACTGTGTAGGTATAAAATATTTTTAATTTGTGTGTATATGGAATCAAGTATTTTTTAAGGTATTTGACTTTTAGTTTCCAAGGCATGTGACAAAGATACCTGGCAACCACTGTGTGAGCTAATTTTCATTCTTTACTTACCCATTCATTCATTTGTTATATTTTTAGACCTCAGTGGCAAAGAACTGAGTTAATTATATTCATAGTTCATGGCATATTATGAACACAGATAAAATCCCAACTCTCATTTTTATTTATTTTTTCTCTCTGTCCCTTTCCCACCCATAGGGATCCACTATTATCTACCACCTTTAACATGTGGTCAAATATACCACCCTGTCAAATGTGTGCTAACTTGCTTCAGTGGTGTCTGACTCTTTGCAGCCCCATGGACTGTAGCCCACCAGGCTCTTCTGTCCATGGGATTTTCCAGGTAAGAATACTGGAGTGGGTTGCTGTGCCCTCCTCCAGGGGATCTTCCCAACCCAGGGATAGAACCCACATCTTTTATGTCTCCTGCATTGGCAGGCGGGTTCTTTACCACTAGCGCTACCTGGGAAGCCCCAGTCAAATATGTAGCCTGGTTCTATGTACTATTATGTTTTCACAATTTACAAAAGTTGTCTTGTGCTATAGATCTCATTGTTTCTCAATGAACAACATGGTTTTAAGATCTAACCAATGGTATTATGTATATCTAGAGTTCATTATTTTAACTACATAAAGTTTTCTGTATTGTATATTTCCCCCAAATTTTACTCGTTCATTTCCCTAATGATTACACCTAGGCTGTCTCCAACTCCCTCTTACTACAAACAACACTATGACATACATAGTGCAAATCCCCTTAGACACAGATCTCTGCAGCTTCGCCTCTGTGGTATCTCCATCCAGTGATAGGATTACTGAGTTACAAGATAACTGACTTAAGTTCACTCTGTTTTCCAGGATGGCTTCATGAGTTTACATTCCTCTCAACACTGTATTAGTGTTTTCATTTCTCACATCCTCACCAATATTTGGTATTATTCACACTGTTAATTGTTGCTGTTCTGATTTGTATACATTGCTACTCATTGGTTTTTTAATTTTTCATTCTTTACTTACTAGTGAGTTTGAGCATCTTTTCACATATTTGTTGGGCTATTTACCTCAGATTCAAGCCCTAGATCTTTTAATGATCCCAAGACAGTGTTTATATTAATTTATCAGCGTGTGGTTCCTGAAGCCTTGAGAATTTCAAATTCTGATCCTGTATTCACATTAAGACACACAGATTTGGGTTTTGATTTCCTCTAAATAACACATACTTTTGCACTCAAACTCTGAGAGAGTTAGCACACTTACTCTTCATCTAAACCAATGGGCAGAATTTTACTGATCATTTTAAGTCTCTAAGATTTATGTGTTGGTCCTTGAACAAGTGTTACTACTCCAGACTGCAGTCAATAGAATCAATGTATGATTTTAAAATCAATTAGCCCCAGCACAAAATCAACTTCTTATCACTGTGTCCTGTATTTTATCCTTTCTTTTAAGGTTGTCTGTGCAATAAACTCCTTAGGTTATGTTTAAGCAATAATTTCCTTGTTTTTTGTAGAAGGAAAGAGCCATCCTTATCAGCTCAGTCTACCATGTTACCATATGACCTCACCTTGTCAATTTTGCTATAACTTTTTAAAGTCTAATTAATGTTTGTGGTCCACCAAAACCTGTGGTCACAGGGGTAGCAGAGAGAGTGACAACAGTAGAAAGGTGTTTATATTACTGATGAAGGGCTGCATAACTCATGAATTTCTCATAAATAAGATTAAAAACTATTGATTACCACTAGAAACATCCTTCAGAGTCAGGATGACTTTAACATATTCATAAGCAGAGGTGTTACTGGATTCAGCATCTCCTCTTTTGAAATGACAGCAAAAGTCAATATGTTTTCCAACTAAAAAAAAAAAATAACAGACACAAAACAATTTTACATTTGTATTTAACTATATTCTGAAGGATTATATCATATGACTATTGCCTTACTTAGACTAGATTTTTAAAATATTATTTTCTTTTCATGAATATTAGCACTTGCATAGCGATCTATGTTGTATCTATAGAGTGGTTCACTTCAGTTCAGTTGCTCAGTCTGATGCTTTGCAACCCCATGGACCACAGCACGCCAGGCCTCCCTGTCCATCACCAACTCCCGGAGTTTACTCAAACTCATATCCATTGAGTCAGTGATGCCATCCAACCACCTTATCCTCTGTTGTCCCCTTCTCCTCCTGCCTTCAATCTTTCCTCTACCCCTATAGAGTGGGGTATCACCTAAAACATAATTTACATAATACTAATACAATTATACAAAAGCTGAAAAACTGAAAGTTCATGATAAAGAACAAGATTTAATAGTGGAGAAAGTTTAATATTAGAAATAAAATTTGCAAAATTATAGCAAGTTAAATTAATATATGATCAGCAGCTATATTGGCTCTAATGTCTTTATTTTTATTATTCCTTTAAGTGATTGTTATCTGTCTCTTAAAATCTAAGCATTTACTATTTGAAAAAAGAAAAAAATCTGTACCTGAGCTTGACACAGGAATTTTGAAAGCCATCTTTGAAAATACTCCACTTTTCTCAGCATCAGGCAGAAGGCTTAAGAAGGTTTTACCCACGATGCCATTCTCAAGAGGGAAAGAGGGAATCAATTTTGTTATATGCATTACTGGCATTTAATTTCTCTATCTCCTTACCGCCATTAAGCTTATCACCTGCCCCACCTCACCCATCTTATAGTCAGACCTGTTAAACTTCTAAAGTCTCAATTCACATTGACCCATTCTATGACCATCACCTCCTACCTTCCCAGTGTGTTCATGCAAGTATTTGTTTATTTCGCTGTGCTGGGTCTTAATTGTGGTATGTGGGATCTTTGATCTTCTTTCCACCATGACAGGCCCCCTGCATTGGGAGCTCAAAGTCTTAGCCAGTGAACCACCAGGAAAGTCCCTCAAAAGTATTTTAAATAGCATCAATTCCCTGACATTCTCTTCCTGTCTTTTTGTATACCACTTATCGCTACCTGACATCATAGTCACATGTATAAAATATACAATATAAAATAAAATAATGGATAGAGTCCCTCAATAAAATATAACTTACATTAAAAGACAGACCTTGACTGTCTTATTTACTGCTACATCCTCAACACCTAAAACACAGTCTGGCATGAGTGAGCACCAATAAGGTTGGATGAATGAATAATGCTGTACCATGTAGTTGAAATGTGGTGACATGAATTAACTGAATATCAGACATTAAGAGTTTTTTTTCATTTAATTTTATTAGTTGGAGGCTAATTACTTTTATTAAGAGTTTTTAATGTGATAGAAACAAAATAATAAGCAAAGTACTCTTTGTAGTTTAATGATGGCTTTGGGTGATGAACTACAAATTAAAATGATTTTAACTGATTAATATTAATAATCTACAGTCAAAACTCAGAAATATATTTTTATGGAACATTTGTAGAAGCCAGCCTACAAACTGGCCAATGCTCAAATTAGCAGATAACTCCTGTCTCAATCAAAAAAAATCTTGGCTCAATGCAGGGCAGAAATATAACCCTAGTTTAGCAAAGAAAACATGAATTAACAGGCAATAGGTTTTGACAATGAAAGTCACATAGTAAGAAACTGACTTCTCAAAAGGATATTTTTCTTTCAATTTAACTTTTTCAATGAAAATACTTTATTGATTTAGTTATAAAATACACTTTAGGTACCAAACCAAGTTATCTCTGATCAGTAGAGACCACTCATTCATTCCTTCACCTAACACCTGATTAACAACTGCTCCATGCCAGAACATTGTACTACGTACATTCAAACTAACTAGCTCACCTAATTAGATTCCCTGTGAGAGGAAGAACTCTCCTCTATTGAATTCATGAGGAAATGGAGGCTTGTACAATTATGGAGAGGAAAGAAGTTCAGAGATGAGATTCACACCCAGCTCCACCCAACTACAAATTCATTGTTCCTTCCACTACACCACAACTACCGCATTTTGGATATTTTACATGAAGCAAATTATTATTATTTTGCTGAAACCTCTGATAGTTTAAAAAGATGAACCTGACATGTTTATTCTAAATTTCAATGAACACAAAGTTCAGTAGGGAAGACAACACATGCACAATTACAATGCATAGTATAAAATAATAGGTTGATATCATTTCAGCCCCAGAAATAATAAATAATAACAATAATACCCCAACAAGAGGTACAAAGTGCTAAGGCTCACCAGTTCTTTCATTGGTAGAAGAAAGTATAGCATTGTCACCTAAAAGAATTCAAAGTTGATAGGGTCCACATGGGGTCTCACTCATCTGGGCACCTCTGGAATTCAGCAGCATGTCTCTTTGGTATGCTGCTGCCCCACCACCCTCAGGGGGCAAAGGTGGGAGGTGGGGGGAAATAAATTACCAAAAGCAAACAGCAGGGGTACACCAGCAATGACACTTGGGGCATACACCCAACAACCTCACAGATCACATGCTTCCTCTCCAAACAATCATAACGCCCTGCAGAGCAAAGGAAATCCCTGTCCTCCAACATGTGGATGATCTTCTCTTTTATAGTCCTTGGCTTACACACTCTCAACACCACACTACACAACTCCTTAATTTTCAAGCTGATAGAGGCAATCCAGTATCTCCCACCAAGGTTCAGCTTTCTCTAGAGTCATCTATCTCGGAGTCCTTTCAACACCAACAGAAAGATACATTACCACCAATAGAAAATCCCTTATATCTACCCTACCATTCCCTATATCAAGTGTTATAAAATATTTTAGTGCTCAGTCTGGTTTTTGCATTTTTGTATTGTTATCTTGTTTTATAGGTTGTCAGCCCCTCCCCTAATCTCCCCTTCCTCTCTGCCATCTTATCCTGAACTAACGCCCAGAACAGGTGGAAACAGGTTGGATGACACCATTTAGAGGCAGGGAAGAGCCAAAGTAGAGATTTGGTTCCAGCTTTCAGGTGCTAACTTCCTACTGTGCAGGGTATGATGGCATAACATTGTCTGCTTGTACCCCTTGTCCCCAGTGTACAGGATCTTTGCACACGTGTCTGAATCATTGAGGGGTTTCCTCTGCTCTGCAGGGCGTTACATATTGTTTGGGGAGGAAGCATGTGATCTGTGAGGTTATTGGGTGTGTGCCCCAAGTGTCAGTTGCTGATGTACTCCTGCTGTTTGCTTTTGGTGCTGTATTTCCCCTCAGCTCCCACCTGTGGCCCCCTGAGGGTGGCAGGGCAGCAGCATACCAAAGAGACAGGCTGCTGAATTCCAGAGGCACCCAGGTGAGTGAGACCCCTTGTGGACCCTATCAAAAGTGAGCAGTTGGATGCATGAGACAAGTGCTCAGCGCTGGTACACTGGGAAGACCCAGAGGGATGGGATGGAGAGGGAGGCGCGAGGCGGGGATCGGGATGGGGAACACATGTAAGTCCATGGCTGATTCATGTCAATGTATGCCAAAAACCACTACAATATTGTAAAGTAATTAGCCTCCAACTAATAAAAATAAATGGAAAAAAAGTGAGCAGTTTTTTTTTGATCATGCACATTCTCTTGGATAGAAATAGCAGCCATAAGTTACTTATTAATTAACTACATTCTTCAGGGAAGGTGACAGTGACAATGTATGCTTGAGCATGTTCAGTCGCTGTGCCCAACTGTTTGCAACCCCATGGACTGCAGCACATGAGTCCTCTGTCCTCCACTGTCTCCTGGAGCTTGCTCAAACTCATGTCCATTGAGTTGGTGATGCCATCCAACCATCTCATCCTGTCATCCCCTTCTTCTTTTGCCTTCATTAGGGTCTTTATTATTGCCAGCATTAGGGTCTTTTCCAATGAGTCAGTTCTTCGCATCAATCAGGTGGCCAAAGGATTGGAGCTTCAGCTTCAGCATCAGATCCTCCAATGAATATCAGGGTTGATTTCCTTCAGGATTGACTGGTTTGATCTCCTTGCTGTCCAAGGGACTCTCAAGAGTCTTCTCCAGCACCACAGTTTGAAAGTGTCAATTCTTTGGCACTCAGCCTTCTTTATGATCCAACTCTCATATCCATACATGAATACTGGAAAATCCATAGCTTTGACTAAATGGACTTTCGTCAGCAAAGTGATGTCTCTGCTTTTGAATATGTTGACTAGGTTTGTCATGGTTTCCCAAGTGGCACTAGTGGTGAAGAACCCACCTGCTAGTGCAGGAGACAGAGGTTCGATCCCCTGGAAAAGGGGTTGACAGAGTCAACCCACTCCAGTATTCTTGCCTGGGAAATCCCATGGTCAGAGGAGCCTGGCGGGCTACAGTCCATGGGGTTGCAAAGAGTCCGACATGACTGAATCGACTTGGCAAAGCAAAAAAAAGTTTGTCATAGCTTTTCTTCCAAGGAGCAAATGCCTTTTAATTTCATGGCTGCAGTCACCATCTGCAATGATTTTGGAGCTCAAGAAAATGAAATCGGTCACTGCATCCACTTTTTCCCCATCTATTTGCCATGAAGTGATGGGACCAGAAGCCATGATCTTCGTTTGTTGAAAGCTGAGTTTCAAGCCAGCTTTTTCAAGCTCCTCTTTCACCTTCATCAAGAGGCTCTTTAGTTCCTCTTTGCTTTCTGCCTAATCTAGGGTGGCGTCATCTGCATATCTGAGGTTATTGATATTTCTCCTGTCAATCTTGATTCCAACTTGTGCTTCATCCAGCATGGCATTTCGCATGATATACTCTGCACAGAAGTTAAATAAGCAGGGTAACAATATACAGCCTTAATGTATTCCTTTCCCAATTTGGAACCAATCTGTTGTTCCATATCCAGTTGTAACTGTTGCTTCTTAACCTGTATACAAGTTTTTCAAGAAGCAGATAAGGCGGTCTGGTATTACCATCTCTTTAAGAATTTTCCACAGTTTGTTGTGATCCACACAGCCAAAGGTTTCATCCATACAGTTAATGAAGCAGAAGTAGATGTTTTTCTGCAATTGCCTTGCTTTTTCTATGATTCAACAGATGGTGTCAATTTGATCTATGGTTCCTCTGCTTTTTTTAAATCCAGTTTGAACATCTGGAAGTTCTTGGTTCATATACTGTTGAAGCATAGCTTGGAGGATTTTGAGAATTACCTTGCTAGCATGTGAAATGAGTACAGTTGTATGGTAGTTTGAACATTCTTTGGCATTGTCCTTCTTTGGGATAGGAATGAAAACTGACCTTTTCCAGTCCTGTGGCCATTTCAGCTTTCCAAATTTACTGGCATATTGAGTGCAGCACTTTCACAGCATCATCTTTTAGGATTTGAAATAGCTCAGCTGGATTTCCATCATCTCCACTAGTTTTGTTCATAGTGATGCTTCCTAAGGCCCACTTAACTTTACACTCTAGGATTTTTGGCTCTAGGTGAGTGATCACACCATCGTGGTTATCTGGGTCATGAAGACCTTTTTTTTGTATAGTTCTTCTGTATATTCTTTCCACCTCTTCTTAAAATCTTCTGCTTCTGTAAGGTCCATACCATTTCTATCCTTTATTGTGCCCATCTTTGCATGAAATGTTCCCTTGGTATCTCTCATTTTCTTGAGATCTCTAGTCTTTCCCATTCTACTGTTTTCCTCTATTTTTTTTTTTTTTTGCATTGTTCACTTAAGAAGGCTTTCTTATCTTTCCTTGCTATTCTTTGGAACTCTGCATTCAGACTGGTGTATCTTTTCTTTTCTCCTTTGCCTTTTGCTTCTCTTCTTTTCTCAACTATTTGTAAGGCCTCCTCAGACAACCATTTTTACCTTTTCACATTTCTTTTTCCTGGGGATGTTTTTGATCACTGCCTCCTGTACAAAGTTGGATACCTCTATCCATAGTTCTTCTGGCACTCTATCAGATCTAATCCCTTGAATCTATTTGTCACTTCCACTGTACAATCATAAGGGATTTGATTTAGGTCATACCTGAATGGTCTAGTGGTTTTCCCCACTTTCTTCAATTTAAGTCTGAATTTTGCAATATGAAGTTCATGATCTGAGCCACAGTCAGCTCCATGTCTTGTTTTTGCTAATTGTATACAGCTTCTCCATTTTTGGCTGCAAAGAATATAATCGATCCCATTTTAGTATTAGCCATCTGGCAATGTCCATGTGTAGAGTTGTCTCTTGTGCTAGAGTGGTATTTCTTATAAAGTTCTTCTCTGTATTCTTGTCACCTCTTCTTAATCTCTTCTGCTTCTGTTAGGTCCTTGCCATTTCTGTCCTACCCTTATAGCCTATTCTTAATACGAGATCCAGAGTGATTCAGATAAAACTTAGATTCAGATAATTTCCTGCATCAGCTCCAAATGGCTTCCTCCCATCTCTGATGAAAAGGCAAAGTCATTACAATGGCCCTAAACCAGGTGACCTCTGTTACTGCTCTGACCTCATCACGTCCTACAACTTTTCTTCATGCTCACAGCACTCCAGTCCCAGTGGCCTCTTTATGATAGCTTTTCACACCAAGTATACTCCTGCCTTAGTGTCTTTTCACTTGCATTTGCTTCTGTTTGGAATGCACTTTCTGCATGACTCACTCATCCTGTTCTAGTACCTGTCGAAATGTCACCTGATCACACAGGCCTTCACTAACCACACCATGTGTAATAATCCCACCTCCAGTCACTCTCTAGGTAATACTGTCCCCTACTGACAGATGAGAAATGAAAGCTCATGTAGTTAGTGACTGAGAGTTAAATTTTAATCTCTAGATTATTTGACTCCAAAAACCAAGTTCTTTCCACCTCACCATCCTATCGGCTTAGAGTTGCCCAATAGACAGAGGTTCAGTTCAGATGCTCAGGCATGTCCGATTCTGCGACCTCGTGGACTGCAACACGCCAGGCTTCCCTGTCAACCAACTCCTGGAGCTTGCTCAAACTCATGTCCATCCAGTCAGTGATGCCATCCAATCATCTCATCCTCTTTCACCCCTTCTCCTCCTGCCTTCAATCTTTCCCAGCATCAGGGTCTTTTTCAATGTGCCAGTTCTTCACATCAGGTGGCCAAAGTATTGAAGCTTCAGCTTCAGCATCAGTTCTTCCAACGAATATTCTGGACTGATTTCCTTTAGGATTGACTGGTTTGATCTCTTGCAGTTCAAGGAACTCTCAAGTGTTTTCTCCAAAACCACATTTCAAAAGCATCAATTCCTCGGTGCTCAGCTTTATGGTTCAACTCTCACATCCATACATGACTACTGGAAAAACCACAGCTTTGACTAGATGGACCTTTGATTTTTAATGAAAAATTGTAGATTCCTGGAGCTGGGCAGATGCTCCAGAAATGGTTTGGTCTCCATATTTATATGAGATGGGTGATTTATAACATGAAATTTTAAATCAAAGCTTGGAAAAAAAATACATGCTGTTAAAAACTAAGAGTTAAGATTTAAACAGAAGTGTGAAACTGTGTCCCAGGTATGGTTTTTTTCAACCATGTTTTAAAATAATATGGGCTTCCTTTGTGGCTCAGCTGGTAAAGAATCCTCCTGAAAGGCAGGAAATCTGGGTTTGATCCCTGGGTTGGGAAGATTCCCTGAAGAAGGGGAAGGCTACCCACTCTAGTATTCTGGCCTACAGAATTCCATGGACTGTATAGTCCATGGGGTCACAAAGAGTTGGACACGACTGAGTGACTTTCGCTTTCACTGAAAAGAATATATCAATTCATTTCCATTTAATGTTTATGTACAGAGTAATAGTTATAGCTTTAAGTACACCAAACTCAAGATTACCACGTGCCTGGTTTAAGATGAGCAGTTCAAACCCATGTCTCAGACATCTCTACCTTAGGGTGACTCTGTGCATGTGTGTCTGTTACCTCAAATGTTGCATGGTGAAAGAGTCTCTTAAGAATGAAAGCTCTGAACCAAAATGCATAAAGAATCAAGGATAACAGTATAAAAATCTTCATAGGAGGGTCCTCAGGAAAAGTCACTGGTCTCAGTCAATGGCCAATTTGCTTTAAGTAATATTAAATATTCCAAGAATTTGGGTAGTTTTCTGGTCTTCACTATAACAAACTTTAATGAATGATATATTACATTCATATTCTTTTAATGTACATTTAATAAGACCATTCTCCTTCTATGATAAGACTCCTCTAAAGTCCAAGGTAATGAATATCTCTAATGCTATGCATGCTAAGTTGCTTCAGTCGTGTCTGACTCTTTGCAATCCCATGGACAGCAGCTCACCAGGCTCCTCTGTCCACAGAATTCTCCAGGCAGGAATACTGGAGTGGGTTGCCATCTCCTTCTCCAGGAATATTCTAATATTTGCATTTTTATTCAGCTGTTTTGGTATCCTATAAATATAAGCTGAATTTGGAAATGTAAATAGCTTTCTAAAAGAAAGGAAGAGAATGAGGAGTTTAAAAATGGATACAGGTATCTTTAAATAAAGAGAAAAGAGGAGAGAAGCTCTCTGAGTTTCTAAGTGGGCCATAGAACATGCTGGCTAGAACAGTATAACTAGTGGAATAAGCACTGAACTTAACTAAAGAATAATTTAACAAAAATTCTATTAATGTGTGTGGTTCAAACTTGAGTGCTACAGATTGGTGGGTTAGGGTGTGCCAAGTTCTTCAGACAATTCTGTGGAGTGAAGAATGTTCAATGAAAGCAACAATCCAGATATGATTAGCACAGTCAAGTAACAGAGATTTGGGAGTGGTGGTGGTTGCGGATGTACGCTACACAGCTCCTTTTCACACACAGGCATGCATGCAGTATGGAGGTTTGCAGTCCTTTCATGTTTAAGTGATATACACAGTGGGTGTACAGCTTGAAGATCTAGAAAAAATTTAGGAAGTCATATATTCTAAGTCAATGGTGCTGGGAAGACTGTAGAAAGCTCTCCTGAGAGGGATATAGTGACACCAAAGAACTCAGGAAGGACTATTTTGAACATCTGATACTCTGACTATAACATATGTGAGTGTCTCTCCAGCAATATGTACAACATTGCTAAGTTAAGCAATCATTTATTTTTTTTCCCCAAATTAGATTATGGCTTGTTCTTCAACATAAAGAAACAAAAAGCAAATCAGACCTGGAAATGGATGTCACGAGCTAGCATGACCAAATCATAACATTCATTGTTTAATCAGTATGTGGTAGACTCAAATGTACAAAATCAAACACATCCATCTGGTTGAGGGCTGCCCAGCAAACCATTCACCTTGGGGACCATCACCTTCAAGGGAAGTTTATAAACCACACACCAGTGCACACCCAGTGTTTCATTACCTTATATCAGAGTTTGTTTTTCATAGCTTTAAAACTGAAATCAATGGGGAGGACAATAAAATAGGTGCACATTTTGACAACATTAGCAATGTCTTTTCTGATGAGTTGTATGCTGCTAAAAACAAATAATGAACCCCTACACAACAAAGTGAATGATCCTTTCCCAAAAACTGAGAGAACTTACAGGTAAATGGCCAAGAAGTGAAGTGATGTCATGGGTCACAGAAATTATAATTCCATCTGTGCTCACTATTATCATAAATCCATCCAATGACTAATGAAAAGATAATAATAATGTAATTAAATAGTGGAACAATAATAAAATGATAGCTTTATTTCTAAATGCATAAATAATTGTAATCACACACTGAAAATGTATTGTTGTCCTTAAATATCAATAAAGCAAGCCCAGAATTAATTAAAATTCCATTATTCTCCCTCCTACACAGAATCTACTTAACCTTAAGCATGAGATATTTATCAAATGATATCTCACTTAGACAAACACATTTCAGTGTACACCCAATTAACACAAAACTCCCCAACACAAGCTAGGAAGATTCATTTCCATGTGTTGGTTATTTCACACTTAATTCAAAATTAATTCCAAAAACAGTAAGAATATTTTGGAGGGCATTTTCATTTGTAGTTAGTCATCTATTTATAAATATGGCTATTGCCTTCACTTTCCTGCTATATAATAGAATAGATATCCAGACAAATGCCTCCTAGTAAAGAACACCTAAAATGGTGGATAAAATATATAAAACAGAGAGAAGCTTATGGTAAAGTACGGGAAATAATCTGATATAGAAATGACTAGAACATGAGAAGTCAGAGGATATCGAAGCTTACATATGCCTTGGGAGCATCTATGCAACATTGATGGCATAGAGCCAGGGGGACAGAAAACAAAGCTTGGACACACACAAAGTGAAGGCTGAAATCAAAGACTCCCATATCAACCCATAAAGGAAACTCTCAGCAGACAAAATAGAAAGATCTTATCCAACAAAGAGAGCCAGGGAACTTACAACCTGCCTATCTTGCCTCAGCCTCAGCTTGGGCTAGAAAAGGAAAAGAAGAACTGGTCTCCTCTGGGAATTGCAAACAGAAGCCCACACTCACACTAACTACCTATATAGCCCTCAACACCCCAAGCCTATAATTTACTTTCAAATGGTCCTGACCCCAAATATCCAGGAAAAAGAAATTGAAATCACCTCTTGAGAATAATTTTAAAACCAGGGCTCAAAGAATGTAGATAAATTTCCAAATAACATAAGTTTGTCATAAATGATTAACAAAAACAGGAAAAACATGAAACATGAACAAGAGGCAGTGTAAACAATAAAATGCACAATGAGACTTAAAACTGCAGATACGAGAAATATCAGAGATAGAATATAAAATAATTATGCTTAAAAGCAACTATACTGCAATAAAAATTAATAAAAATAAATAAATATACCAAAAACATGCTTAATATGCTTAAATAAATCTTAAAAGGGTATTGAAAATATAATGAACAGGAGACTCCTAACTAACTAGGCATATGTGAAAATTAATCAAATTGTCTAGAAATGATATCATCAAAATAAAAACTCAATATGTAGGTCAAATAGCAAGTTAGAGCATAGGTGGAAAGATAATTTCTGAACTGGAAGACAAAGCTGAAGAAATGACTCAAAAGCAACACAAGGAGACAAAGGAATGGAAGATAAGAGAAATGAAATAACACAGAGAAGAGCAGGAAAGTGCACTAGACATTTTACACATGTTCACTTTACTCTCACAACCACTCTGAAACAGAGATATTGTAAAGAGGAAGAAGTCAGAGTTGAGAGATGGCAATTCTCTCAATGATGCATAACAAGTAAGTGATAAAGGAACAGTTCATATCCATATCTATTTGACTCAAAGGATCGTGGTCATTTGGGCTTTAGTCTGTGGCCTTTGAACTCAGTGAAACCTACCAGTTCCTTTGGAAGTAGAAACCATAAACATCTCATGTCCTTGAGGAAAAAAAAGTAAGGAATGAAAGGCTTAATCTACAGACTCTAACAACCTGTGTTGAATGAATCTACCAGATAATTAATTAACTTGCCACTAAACTATGCAAACACTTGTTCATTTTTGTTGTCGCTGGAGTTTGGTGGGTTCATTTGGCATAAGAAACATCCAGGCAACTCTGGATTAGATTATCTTCTCTCCAAAATGATTTTAAAGATGCAAATAAATGAACCTAGTGAGTTAAAAGAAAAAAAGAAAGAAAGAAACATCCAGGCAGCCTGCTAGACATGAAGGCTCCTGGCCCTACCAAGATAGAGATTCCAATTCAAACAGTTTAAGGTGGGTCCCAGGAATCTGTGTTTTTACCAAGTTCCCTAGGTAATTCTGAAGGTAGAGTACCCTAGCCACACTTTGAAAAACAGTATTCTGTATCTTTTACTGCATGCATTCTGCATATAAAGCAACCAGAGGACAAACTCCCTCTTACTTGTAGTGTCTTCTGGATAAAATCTTCATAGCTTCGAAATGATGGAATCCAATTCAGTGTCTCTGTAGACGTTTTTATAAGGAAGAAAGGATAAAAAACAGTCACATTAAAATGATTAGCTTATGGGTATTCATTTTTCAAAGTTATAATTAATTTTATAGAAAAGACTCTCATGAGAAAATGCTGAGTGCTAATGAAGAATCTGAGGTAGACTAACTAATTGCTTATAACCTATCATCAACAAAGAAGTGTTCAGAATTGAAAAAGACCTTGAATATCATCCATCTCAATTTCTACTGTATGCAGGATGATCTTTCTAACAACGTTATGATCTTCAACTCCCAGTTCTTTCCCTTTCTTGACTTCTTTAAGTCTTCCAAATTCTATCCAAACCCAATATTCACAATATACCAGATAAGGTACAGGCTGTTGAATGCTCCAGGTGTATTAAGACACTGAATATGTCCTCAGTCCCTGGCTAAAATACAGAATTCCATGACTGTTTCATCAAATTAGGCTTTTAGCAAAGGACCTCAACTAGAAAATCCTTAAGCTGTATCTTGTAATTCTCCAACGATGCGGACACTCCTCTGTCTCCCATACCCACTTCTCCATGTGTCAAGATTTTCTGGTTTTCCCAATGAACATTTTCAGCTCCTGAACTAACTCAGAGCCTCTGCTATCAACATCCACCCCACTTCACCTCCCCCAATCCCACCTGTTCCATTGACTTCACTAACCCAGGGACTTCACTAACACAGCCCTCCAATCTCCAGTTATTTGAATGTATGTCCACAAATGTTTGTTTCTTCTCCTCAGAAATGGTGAGGAGACCCATAAAACTGCAATGCCTATTCAAAATGTTAAATCCCTTGACAAAGACAAATCTGACAGTGGCACTTGCTCTCTTGGTGGGAAGGAGTCTCAGATCCTTCTCTATGAGTAGATAAGAAGGGACCCAGGCATGAGCAGAAGAGCTCCTGAACCCTCATTTAAGAGGGGATGAGAAGAGGGCATGTATCTACGTGGGAAGGAGGAATAATATGAAACATAAACCATGCTGGTTGCACAACCGCCTCACAATCAGTGTTCCTGACCCCTGTCCCAGCCTGGAAACTGAATTCTGGTCACAACTTCTCCAGATCAGAAAACAAACCATGCCCCTCTCCCATGGCTGATTTCTGAGGTCATTTCCCCACTGACTTTCAGCCCCACCTAGTAACTTTCATCTCCTATACTCCCTACAAAGAAATACAAAAGACAGTCCATATATTTCCAGAAAATAAAACCTATGTATTTTATAAAACAACCATAAAGGGTTTTTCTACATTAGTATATTACCCATGAACTTGTCCTTGTTTTGTTTCTAGGGTAGGTACCATATACAATTCTTCACTAAAACCCCAGTGTTCAGCATAGAATTTGACACACAATAGGAACTTGGCAATTCTTGTTAAGCTGAACCTCATTCATTCATTTATTTAACTACCACCTACTGGGCTCCTACTACATATCCTACTCTGTTTTAGGGGCTAATGATAGAGCATGGACAAAACAAATAAATTGACCATTCTTTTGAATCTTACAGACCGGTGGGGAAGGTAGACAGATAACCAACACATAGACCAGGGAATTGGTCATTGCATGTACCTTGAAGTACAATAACTTCAACTGGATGCCCAGGGAAAGCCTTGCTGACAAAGTGAAAAATGGCAGGAAGAGAGCCATGAGAAAATCCAGGAGCAAGAGCATCTCAGGCAGAGGAAGCAGTAAGTACAAAGGGAGACAGGAAAGATTTTGGCCAATTTAACTAACAGGAGGTCAAAGGGACTACTGTAGGGTGACCAAGGGATAGAGCAGTGGGAAATGAAGTCTGAGAGACAGGTAGGACCAGATTATGTAGGGTATGTGAGGGAGCCAGCATTGTTTTGAGTGGAACAGCATGTGCTTTCAAGCAGAAGAGTGACATACAGGTTTTTTTTTCCCAATATTTTTATTAGAAAATATATTTTTCTATATTTTGTTGAGGCAAACATGAAGGAGTTCCCCAACCAGGGGCCCCTGCATTGAGAGCACAGGGTCCCACTGAACCATCAGGGAAGTCCCTTGATATATATTTTTAAAAGATCACTATGGCTGTTTATGAAAAATAGGTCAAACTAGGGAGCAAGAGTGAAGCAAGGGAGCCTCGCTGGAAAGCGTGTTCAAATGGAATAGATGGTAGTGGCCTGGACTAGGTCGGTTCACCAAGGCTGTGTAAGTGGCAGAGTGAACGGATTTGAGATATACTTTAGAAGCAAAGCTAAAAGGATTTGCTGATGGATTGGTGGAGGACACAAGAATGACAGCTGGAGTTTATTTTGAGCTGCTAGAAGAATGGTGGTACTTATACTGAAACTGCGAAAATCAAGCCTGGGAGTGTGAGAGGAATTGAGAGGTCCTGAATGGCGATGTTACCTCTCCTGTTAGACATCCAAGCAAAGAAGTCACAGAGGAAACTCTCACGCTGATTTAATAATGAGTATGATTCTCAAGTATGGAGGTAAGGGAGGAGGTTCAGGCTGCAGATAGATTTTAAAAGTGGGAGGCACTGACATCCAAGTAGCCCTTCAAATTAAGGGATTGGATGAGATTACATGGGAAATGACTGTAGACAGAGAAGACAAAAGGTCCTAGGACTGAGCCCTAGGGCATATCCATGATTCAAAGTTGAAAAGGGAAAGAGGGGATGGGAAAAAGAGAGAGAGAAGGAGTGGCCAATGAGTTAGGAGAGAAGCCAGAATCCAGTTACCCAGGTATCCTGGAAGCTGAGAGAAAAATGCTTCAAGAAGGAGGGAGTGGTCACCTGTCCAATGTTTTTGAAATATCATGAAAGATGAGGATAGTTAAGGGACCAAAGACCTCAGCAATGTGGAGACCACTGCTATTCCTGACAGAAGTAGTTGTCCTGGAGTGGGGGGAGCTCCAGGCTCAGTGAAGTGGGTTGAGAAAGGATGGGGCACGAGGAAGTGAACACAGGGTCGATACAATCATTTCGAGAAGTTTTGTTGTGAAGGGGACACAGAAATAGGGCAACAGCTGAAGGTATCATGGGGCCAAGAAAAAATATTTTTAAGGTAAGAGAGATCTTCTATAGCATGATTACATGCTTATGAGCATAACCTGCTCAGATGTTTTCAGTTAAATATACTTAAATATTATAGGTACTATTTGACACCCTTGGGACCCTGTTTCCCTTAACAACATTTATATATGCCTTCAAGTGCCTAAGATACAGAAATCTGTACTACTGTTACCCAGAATACTTCTACTAATTCTCATTTCCTTATTCCACTTTTGCATGAACTTCAGTAATGCTTTTAGCATCAAGCATAAGAAAATTATAAATGGAGAGAAACTAAATATCCACATAATAGAAGTTGCTTCAGGAGGTCATCTCGTCATTGCTGCTGCTGCTGCTGCTATTAGTATTTAGTCACTCAGTCGTGTCCAACTCTTTGTGACCCCATGCACTATAGCCTGCCATGCTCCTCTGTCCATTAGATTTCCCAGGCAAAAATACTGGAGTGGGTTACCATTTCCTCCTCCAGGGGACCTTCCCAACCCAGGGATCAAACCCGCATCTCCAGCATTGGCAGGCAGATTCTTTACCACTGAGTCACCAGGGAAGCCCCATCTCGTCACTAATCCCACACAGTGATGTATGAGGTAAAGAAGAGTTTCAGTTGTCCCACCCACAGCTAATTTTCAATATAGCTAAGCTCAGTTGAAACCTGTCTTTTGTGAAAGAGCAGAAATACCTTGTGAATTTTCCGCTTTGTTTTTCCCCACAGGACTGTCCTCTCTATGCAAAAAATCATGTAGTCCTCTGAGGAGAGTATTCATTTTATTCATACTCTGGCCTTCAGGCGGATCTCCATATCTAATTGATAAAAGACAAAAAAGGTTATTCATAAGGGTACATGCATGCTAAGTCGCTTCAGCTGTGTCTGACTCTGCAGCCCTGTGGACTGTAGCCTGTCAGGCTCCTCTGTCCATGGGATTCTCCAGGCAAGAATACTGAAGTGGGTTGCCCTGCTCTCCTCCAGGGGATCTTCCCCACCCCCCGCCCCCCAGGGATCAAACCCATGTCTCTTACGTCTCCTGCATTAGCAGGCAGGTTCTTTATTATTAGCACCACCTGGGAAGCCCATAATAAGGGTAGGACTGAGAATTCAAATGATGGAACAATGGATGGGGAGAAATAAGGAGAGAGAAAGGGAGATGTTATTGTCAACATCTTGGCAAAAATCTTCTCCTTTGATAACTCATATAACACACTGTCAACATTAAAATAAGAATATGAAAGCCAATCTCATGTCCCTCAGACTCTGAGGCTGTTGAGGGTAGGTTGGGACCATATTTGTCTCCATGTTTCCAATAGCAAAGTCCACACAGTGTCTTGCACAGTGGCTTATGAATTATATCAAATAAGTCCAAATGAATTTGAATATAATGGTGGCTCTTTGTTCTACCATATAATCTTACCTGCTTTTTCAGAGTACTTCTGATTAAAGAAAACTGTTTCTAAATGAACTCTAATTACTGAAGAGACTTTCTTGAAGCCAATGCTCCCTCTCACAGAGAAAGTTGAGCAACGAAATGCTAATTTAGATTTCAATTTTTAACTTTAAAAAAACACAGACCATTCTGAAAAATTCTGAAAAAAACTTTTTGACCAGTAGGATGAAATTCTCAAACTGGAAAAATGACATTATTAACCTTCTCAAATGTATATGAATTTCAATTCTAGGCAAGCCAAGGCCCCCAAGCAGACTTTTCAACTGATCAGGGAGTATAAAGCGTTTATTCAGTGTTAGCTCTGAGCAACCACTGTTCAAGGCAGGGAGGGCACAGTTCGATGAGGGAGGCTGTCAGGACATAGAGGGTGAGCATGCATGCTCAGTCACTCAGTTGTGTCTAACTCTTGCAACTCCATGGACTGTAGCCTGCCAGGCTCCTCTGTCCATGGGGTTCTCCAGGCAAGAATGCTGGAGTGCGTTGCCGTTTCCTCCTACAGGGGATCTTCCCGACCCAGGGATTGAACCTGAGTCTCTTAGTCTCCTGCATTAGCAGGCTGGTTCTTTACCACCAGCACCACCTGGGAAGCCCATAGGAAGCCTACAAAGTGTTATAATACAATTAGGGTGAGGGATATGAAGTACCCACCAGAGAGGTCAAATTTCTCTGAGTTAGTCAAGTTTCCCAGAGGAAGTAGAATTTTGCAAGATATGAAATAGGAAGGGAGGACAGGGGAGAAGTGTTTGAGGAAAATATCAATCAATTAGGATTTCATACCGCATCCATTTTCTTCCGTCACCTTCATCCATTTTTCAGTGATATAATAAAGAATCCTGAAATCAAAGTGTAGCCACATTTTACTAAGAAATCAGTCTATGATGAATCATATAAAGCAATAAGATTAATCAAAATTCTCAATTTCCCTTGAGGAATGTAGGAATGCCTACTTCTTTTAAAGAGAATCTCATTAAGCATCTGTAGATGGTAAAGACTTGCTTTATTGTGTGATCCCCAATGAATGTTTGTCACAATAATACTACAAATGAATGTATTTGGAAAATGTTGCAAAAACACTGTGAAGTTACACAACTTAATCCCAAAGTCAGGTACTTGTTGGTTTACTTCTGTACCCTTAGATTCCTTTAACTTCCACTGATTTCATGAAACAAAGACAGTGAAAGAAAGACAGATGTAGATTGAAAACTTCATACCTAGCCACTATATCATGCCACAATAGACAAAAGCCTGCACTTATCATTGATATCACAGAAATCTTCAGCATAGAAGAATGACCTTGACAACACCAGAAGTCTCTGCTTTGAATTGTGTAATTAGACTCACACATCACCTCAAGGTTGAAACCTCAATATAGAAGTCAATGACATTCAAATACATATGCATTAAATAAGAGGGAACTGTTAAAATATAGCAAACATCTTCTAAATGCTCTCAAGAAAATAAGAGAAAGCTCGGGTGTCAAACCCTGGGCAGATACTGAGAACAAGCTGGTTAGTTCACCAACCTGTGCTGCTGGGGAGATGATTAAGCATAACTTACATCCCTCACATCTAGCAGAGTGCTGGGAAAAGACTGAAAAAATGAACAGAGCTTTCAGATGGGATATCATCAGGCAATCTAAAATATAGGTAACTAGATTCCTAGAAGGGAGAGGAAAAGTAATATTTGGATAATGGCTAATTGTTCCCATACTGGATGAAAAACATAAATTCATATATTCTTGAAGCTCAATGAATCCAAGAACTAAACACCATGAAAAGCTTACCAAGGCTTGAAAAGCAATTGCAAAGCAAAAGCAATTGCAAATTGAAAAGCAATTGCAAAGAGAAAATCTTAAAAGCAAACAGAAATAAAAGATACATTTAATACAGAGTGGGGAAGAATGTCCTCTGTCTGACTTCTCATCAGAATAACCCAAGCCAAGAGAAAATGAAACATCTTTAAAGTTCTGGGCAAACAAATCAACCTAGAATTCTATATCTATTAAGACTGAACCCTTCAAAGAAACTGAAGGTAAAATAAAGACACCTCCAGATGAACAAAAAATAGAAGAAGTCAAGGCCAACATACTAGCACTATCAGAAATGTTAAAGGAAGGACTTCAAATGGAAGGAAAAGGATGCCAGATGCAAAGTTATATCTACATAATGAAATGAAAAGAACTGGAAATAATATGTACATGAGTAAATATAATATTTGCATCTTCAATTTCTTTAGAAGATAACTGAAATAAAAGCAAGGAACTGTAAGGTTTATAATACATATTGATATCAAATCTATTACAATAATAATACAAAAGACAGAAGAGTGGAAAGCAAAAACCTACTGTTATGAGGTTCTTACATTATACATGAAGTGGCACAATGTTAATTCACATCAGACAGTAATAAATTAAAGATGTATACTATAAACTGCCTAGAGCAACAAATAAAACACACATGAGACATAGATTACAAATGAAAAGAGATAAAATGGAATATTAATTAGTCATTTCATCCAGAAGCAGAAAAGGAAGGCAAAGAAAACAAAAATCAAATGGGACAAACAGAAAACATACAGAAAGACTTAAACATCACTGTATTAATAATTATGTTAACTGTCAGTGGACTAAAGGCACAAATACAAAGCCTAGGAGTGTCAAAACTGGGGACAAAAGTAAGACCAAACTATCTTGTCTACAGGATACTCACTTGAATTATAAAGTCACAGCTTATAAGTAAAATAACAGAAATATATATACTATGTAACCCTAATGATGTAAAGCTTAAGTGGCTAATTAATATTAAAGATTCTAGGTAAGGAATAGTCTTAGAGTAAAAGAGGGACATTTCATTATGATAAAGGAGTCAATCAAGAAGGTAAAACAATCCTAAACAGGTATACTCCTAATTACTAAGTTTGAAAGTGAAGTAAGAACTAAAAGGAGGAATAAACAAACCCACAATTACATCTGATGAGTTTAAACACTCCTCTATCAGTAATTAATGGACCAAATAAAGAGAAAAGAAGTAAGGATACTGGAGACTTACTAGCCTGCCAACAGACTTGGCCTCATTTGATGACAGGCTGCACTAAGCAACAGTAGAACACAAGCGTAACATTCCAACTGTCATGATGATTCAAAATGTACTGGTTCATGAGACCAGTCTCAGTGAATTTAAATCATTAAAGGCATACAGACCATGTTCTCTGATGAAAACAGAATTAAATTAGAAATCAATAATAAACAGATAAATCCCTGGAAAATCCCCAAACATTTGGAAATTAAATAACATCCCTGTAAATCATTTCTGAATTAAAGAATAAACCTTTGGAAAAGGCTTAAACACAAAAAATCAGACAGTATTTCTAACTGGATTATAATTAATATTAATGTTAAATTCCAAAATATTCAATAACCTAATTATAATTTATTAAAATTGCATTTTATGTATTTATGGTGTTATATAGTCCCATCAAAAAAAGCCAAATCTCAATAATTATTCAAATCACTTTTTTGTGTCCTTAAATAACACATGATTCTTTGTATATACAGTAAAAGAAATTATACAGTGTTAGGGGCTAATTTAACAAAATGTGCAAAACTATTACACAGAAAATAATGTCTTTATTGATTAATATAAAAATATCTAAATAGGGACATCCCTGGTGGTCCAGTAGCTAAGACTCTGTGCTCCCAATGCAGGGGGCTTAGGTTCCATCCCTGGTCAGGGAACTAGATCCCACATGCTGCAACTAAGACCCAGCACAGCCAAATAAAGAAATATTTTTTAAAAAAATCTAAATAAATAGAAAGAACATCATATCCCTGGACAGGAATTTTCATAGTTTTATCAGATCTCCCCAACTAATCTACAAATTAACTTTGATCAAAACTCAGTATATTTTTGTTTGGGTTTGGTTTTCTATATAACTTCTATAATTACAGAATTCCCATCAAGATCAACAAGTCAGAAATATCTACAATAATTTTGAAGAATAAAAATGTACAAAGATGTGTTCTACTAGACATCAAGACTTCTTTGAGGTAAATAGATAAGGGTACAAAGCATAGGACAGAAGAGATTAGGAACAGTTCCATACATAAATAGAAATTTGATTTGTGACAAAAAATCATTATAATTTTGAAATTTCTACTAAATCCCTTAGGATTATACAGTGAAAATGAGAAATAGATACAAAGGGTTAGTCTGACACAGTACCTGAAGAACTATGGACAGAGGTTCGTGACATTGTACAGGAGACAGGGATCAAGACCATGCACAAGAAAAAGAAATGCAAAAGGCAAAATGGTTGTCTGAGGAGGCCTTAAAATAGCTGTGAACAGAAGAGAAGTGAAAGGCAAATGAGAAAAGGAAGATACACCCATTTGAATGCAGAGTTCCAAAGAATAGCCAGGAGAGATAACAAAGCCTTCCTCAATGATCAGTGCAAAGAAATAGAGGAAAACAATAGAATGGGAAAGACTAGAGATCTCTTCAAGAAAATTAGAGATATCAAGGGAACATTTCATGCAAAGATGGGTTCAATAAAGGACAGAGATGGTATGGACCTAACAGAAGCAGAAGATATTAAGAAGAGGTGGCAAGAATACACAGAACTGTACAAAAAAGATCTTCATGACCCAGATAATCACAATGGTGTGATCACTGACCTAGAGCCAGACATCCTGGAATGCAAAGTCAAGTGGGCCTTAGGAAACATCACTATGAACAAAGCTAGTGGATGTGATGGAATTCCAGTTGAGCTATTTCAAATCCTGAAAGAGGATGCTGTGAAAGTGCTGCACTCAATATGCCAGCAAATTTGGAAAACTCAGCAGTGGCCACAGGACTTGAAAGGGTCAGTTTTCATTCCAATCCCAAAGAAAGGCAATGCCAAAGAATTCTCAAACTACCACACAATTGCTCTCACCTCACACGCTATTTAAGTAATGCTCAAAATTCTCCAAGCCAGGCTTCAGCAATACGTGAACCATGAACTTCCAGATGTTCAAGATGGATTTAGAAATGGTGGAGGAACCAGACATCAAACTGCCAACATCCAAAGGATCATCAAAAAAGCAAGAGAGTTCCAGAAAAACATTTACTTCTGCTTTATTGACTATGCCAAAGCCTTTCACTGTGTGGATCACCACAAACTGTGGAAAGTTCTTCAAGAGATGGGAATCCCAGACCACCTGATCTGCTCCTTAAGAAACCTGTATGCAGGTCATTAAGCAACAGTTAGAACTGGACATGAACAATAGACTGGTTCCAAATAGGGAAAAGAGTATGTCAAGGCTGTATATTGTCACCCTGCTTATTTAACTTATTATATGCAGAGTACATCACGAGAAACGCTGGGCTGGATGAAGCACAAGCTAGAATCAAGATTGCAGGGAGAAATATCAATAACCTCAGATGTGCAGATGACATCACCCTTATTATGGCAGAAAGCGAAGAAGAACTAAAGAATCTCTTCATGAAAGTGAAAGAGGAGAGTGAAAAAGTTCGCTTGAAACTCAATACTCAGAAAACTAAGATCATGGCATCTGGTCCCATCACTTCATGGCAAATAGATGGGGAAACAGTGGAAACAGTGACAGACTTTATTTTCTGGGCTCCAAAATCACTGCAGATGGTGACTGCAGCCATGAAATTAAAAGACCTCTTCTCCTTGGAAGAAAAGTTATGACCAACCTAGATAGCATATTAAAAAGCAGAGACATTACTTTGCCAATAAAGGTCCATCTAGTCAAAGTGATGGTTTTTCCAGTAGTCATGTATATGGATGTGACAGTTGAACTATA